GCTGGAGCTTCAATCAAATATTTTCTATCCAGCATAGGGGTCAAAGTTCGTAATCGGTTTTCCCCTAAGGAAAGCAGCTGAAAGTTCAGAAATTCTATCCAATATAACTGTAAAAGTTCGTCAGAGGTTTTTCCCTTAATAGCTGGAACTTAAATCAAAGAAATTCTATCTTTCCCGTATTTTAGGGTATTGTCTATCTTTACCCCTATTTCCTTCGGTAACTCAACTGTAAACACTCAAAAAACAAGAAATAATTCTATCTTTCCCGTATTTTGAGGTATAAAAGTCTATCTTTATCCTATTTTTCGGGATAAAAGAGAGGTATTTTAGGCAGAGGTAATTCATAAGTAGAAGTCAATCCTATCGAAGAATCAATGATCCTTCACTGTCAGAAAGACGAAAGATTCCTTCTTGATCTTGATCTTCTCCTTCTTTCACTCTTTCACTCTCCTTTACTTACTGTCTCGCTCTTGAACCTCTTCTTAGGTCTCAGGGCTTCGCCCCTCTACAACAAGGACTATTCTTTCTTCGTCTTCACTCTCTCTCTCTTCATTCTCCTGTAAACACTCCTTTCTTTCCTTATCCCTTCTCATTCACCTGATTGTGACCAAGGTAAACTGTATTCTTCTTCTTTCACTCTTTTCCTCTCCTGTAAACTCGGGGGGTGAACTACTTCTCTTTCTCTTTGCTTTCCTTTGATTCTATTCTTCTTGACTTAACCAAATTCAATCAAGATTTGCTCATTCACCTGGCTTACTTGATTACCTGACTTATGAGATTTTCTATCCCATTGGCTGACACATTACTGGCTTAAAGGTTAGAACGTTAGAGAGGGTATTCCTATCCCATCCTTATTCTATCTTTGCTTTATTTACTGCTTCCGGATACAAGGAAGAGAACCTAGTTTTATTTAGGGTTGGTTGTTGGATTACTAACTCAAAGTCTGCTTACAGGATTAGCTGACTACGCTGGGTATACTGGATTAGCCAGTTTGTCAGCGGAAGAACCTTCCTTTCTTTTTCCCGTTGGAATTCATTCCTTACTACTCCTTGCTGATGAGCTTACTTCTACAGTAGAAGGCGTGGACTTATATATTATTCTATATCTTTTTGATCTCGCACTGATAATATAGAACCAGGAGACTAGCTATAGCTCTTGCGGGCTTCCCTGCTTACTCCACTTCCCTCGTGCGGTATAGAATGGCTACGGTTGTTTGGTGTCCCAAGTTTGTACCGAGAGAGAAAAGAACTTGCTCACGCTTTCCCGGCCCTGGACTCCTGTGATTACCAAAACAAAGAAAAGTCAAAGAAGACAGATGCTTTCTTCGTTCGGCCCTCATTCCCTTCCTATCTAGAAAATCAGGTTCTTCAAGGCAGGAAAGACTGAAAGAGGAGAGAGAGTAGTAGTAGTCTTACTCTTTCTCTTTCTGATCCCCCAAAGAAAAATGCTACATCGGAAGCAACTATAAGTCGATCTGCCAAACTAAACTCTCCTTACTTAATAGAAGGGTCTCACCCCACCTTTAGAGCAAGGCTTTTCCGGCTTTACTGACTTAGCGGAATAATCAGCTGACGCAACTCTTCTCTTGGTCAATCTGTTTTCATCTACTTATTTATACTTAGCTTCGGTATCGTACCTAAGAGAATCTGAATCAAAAAAAGTACCTAGACCTCTGGATCCAAGATCACGATATCCGGAATCAGTGTTGTAGGTCGATTCGGATACCCCACCCTTATTATAGAGGAGAGTTTGGGACTTAGTTGCCCTTGGTTAGGAGGTTGACCCTCATAAAGGCCTTTCACTAAAAAAAAAGCCTTTAGCATCTTCATTGCCTCTCGTACGTTCATGATATTGCTTGAACATGGCGCTCAAAGAAATTCACTCTAATGGACTTAGTTAGCTTGCTCGTGTAACAACTCTCTTCAAATAGGCTTGCTACCTTGATTTCTGACTTGAATATAGACCTTTGTCCTATTCTTTTATCGTAACCTTCCTTGGGTATTGCCATATACCTCTTCCCTCCTTCGGCATGAAGCACGAGGAATTCCTCCTTATGGTATCGTATTCATTCTCCCATTCACGCCTTTGTTATATGTTCTAATGGAATTTCCTTTCGTAGGCTAAAAAAGGGGTCGGTCATTCTTCAGATCTTTGTTGATTGGCCGGCTTGGGATAACCTATTTGAAAGAAAGAGATTTGTCTAACGTCTTGGTGTACCGAACTTGGCTTATACATTCTCGTACTATACTGCATCTGCCAGCCGAACAAGTAAGGGATTCCTCATCTGCCAGCCGAACAAGTAAGGGATTCTTCCTCCGGTGTGCTGGCTCCTGCTTTCCCTGATTGATTGATTGGCTATTGACAGAGAAGACATCTATGTTATACCAGAGGACGGAGCAGACATGGCAATCAAAAGAATGAGCCAAAACTGAACAAGCAAGGCCCCACGACCTAAGAAGCTTGCGGGAGAGTTTAGAGTTTCCCGACAGGTCGATGTACAACCGACAGGTGAATGCTTTACCAAACTCGTGTACAACTCCTTGAATGTGTATTGATTTTCGCTTAAACCATGCTTGGGTTCCTAAACTCTTTCTCCCTCCCCTGTGAACAAACTCAAAACCATAAAGAAAATCTCTCTATAAAGCGCAGAATACAGATGTGCTGCAGAGAAGGAAGAAAGACGAATGAATGCTATGAGAGCTTGGACGGAATGAATAAGGTCTAGGGGAGACAGACCGCCCTTTTCTAACATGTGACAGGAAGAGACTAGTCAAAGAAAGATTACTACTGTAAACTCGCAATATATACATCCAAATAAGAAGGAGACAGAATATGAATGAAGGATTGAAGCATCTGACCCCGGGCTCTGGAGATAAATACCGAAAGAGCTTACCGGATGCACCATCGACCTCAGACAGACAGCTCGATCGGGCAGGGGAAAAACGAAAACAAAACGTAGTGGGTGAGCAGAAAATACCAATGAAGACCAGACCTGGAATTTCAAACAAGAAAACGTAGTAGCCTAGCCGTAGAGGGAGATTCTCCAGCTCCACTCTTTAACTATATAGAGTGGAAAACTACGCTTCAAAATCAAGCCCAAAAAATGAGACTTTTGAAAGGTCCTACTGATTGACCCACTAAAGCCATGAAAGTGACCTTTTGGATTAGAAAAATTACCTCTGAGACCCGAACCCGCGTTGATCGAAGAGCAGCTAACAAAAGGGCGAAGGCAGGATGAACAAGAAAATAGCCGTAGACAGATGGAAAGACCGGAGACCAGAGACCGGAAGAAAACATCCATTTTTTGAAAAAGACAGAGAGAGATTAATGTGGACAGATTGAGCCAATGTTTTCCAAAATGCCAATACGAGAAGCAGATTCGACTTCTATAGATTTTGCACCTTCAAAAGTTCCAGGCTGAATTACAGAAAGAGATGAATGGTGACTTCTTACTGCTACAGGGGAAGAAAGAAGAGAGGAACTAATTCAAGCTAATTCGACCTTTTGTATAGGGCCTGGACGGGACGAGTACGACATATTCAAGGGACCGATCCATCTCATTAAAGGATTTTGGGGACAGAGCACAGACCTCAGACTAATCGATTAAACTCATTATTGTAGAGTTTACCGGGGACGTATTGAATTCAAGTCATTCATGTGTGCCGATTTCCTTATGCTTCACTGCAAAATAGGTCCCAACCTTCTGTGAACCTTAGCTGATCATCCATCAAACTATGCGGAAGGAGAGAGACCAACGAAGCTGCCAGACTGGAAAGGAGTGAAGAGGAGCCGCGAGACCGAGTTAAAGAAGGAAAAGGTTTGAGGTTTTGGCTTTCCTTACAGTTCCGGATTATTAAAGGTGAAGGCAGAGTCAACTCATTGAATATGCTTAGTTTACAGTGAAAGAATAGAGGTGACGGGTCGAAGACGCGAGACGAGAAGAGGAGTTCATAGCGAAGCTCAGCTGTAGAGATTCGATGCTAACATAACAAAGAAAGTAGGATACACACCTTTACCCTCCAAAAACCCTGTCTTCCGCCTACCAATGGGAGCGAGAACTTGTTGGACGTCTCGAGTGAATGCGGGAATGCCATACCGGAATGGGATACTAATGAAAAAAGCCAGAAACCAGACCATATATATGGGTGATATAAGAAGAAAGACTGACTCTCTTTGGGAGCTTGTAGACACTGGGCCACAAGTCATAGAGTGACGGCTAATAAGCTAAGTTAGTATACTAAGACGGAGGGAGCGAAGACGAAGACAGAGTTTACAGTGAAAGAAGAAATGAAGACGCTGCTTTACAGTCGAGTAAATAAAAGAGAGTTCAACCTGAACAAGAAGGAAGGACTTTATAGTGAAAGAAAGAAGGGAGACGAAAGAAGAAGAAATGAGAGTGAACTACTGAACCTTCAAGTGTTGAAAGGAAAGCCGAAACAAGAAGAAATGAAGACGCTGCTTTACTGTCGAGCTACTTACTCCTATTCATTCTCCTTCACTCATGAACCTTCTTTCTTGGACTCTCATTTCACAGTAAACAAAGACTATCGATGCATTCTCTCAGCTATTTATTCTTTTTCTTGTCTTTCTCCTTACTTAATTGGACTGATTTCTGTAGGTCTGTTTGCTCATGAACTGGAACCGGAGCCTTCGCTACTGAATGAAAGACTCCTTATACTGTATTACCGGAAGTAGGTAAAGCAATTCCATTTCTGAGCCTCTTCTCGTCTCGTTGCTGCGCTCCCGAACTACTTACCCTGAACCTCCCCTGTTGGTAAAGCTGCTTCAACCCTGAACCTCTATGACCAGAAGTTCTTGTTCTAGGACTCTCCTGTAAACAAGCACTCCCTCCTTATGAATGAGACAGATGGAACAGTAAGAAAAGGTCAAGCTCCTTCCCCCTTGTTTTAGATTCTAGTCTCTGTTTCTTTCGTTCTTTCATTAAGGAAGTCAAGCTAGCTTTTTTATGGGAATATTACTAAACAGTGTTCAGTTATTGTTCGCTCTTTCACTCATTCACCTCGTAAACTCGGGCTCACCGCTTCGCTTCTCTCCCTATCAGTCTGTTTGCTCCATTGCCTTCGCTTTATTTTGTCTCGTTGCTTCGCTCCTCTCCCTCTTGGTCGAGTGGCTTTCGCTCCTTCCTTTTCTTATTTATTCACTGCAACCTCCTGACTTGGCTGTCCGTACTATTACTTCTGATCCTGATGTGGAACGAACTCCTTTTCTTCCCTTCCTATTCTATTTATTCACTGTAACCAGACTGACCTCCTTATGAATGAGACGGAACTGACTGACTATTCAATCCTGTAACTCAATCACCTTCTTTCGCCTATGGATTCTTTAACTGTAAACTAAGACTCAACAAGAATGAGACGCATGGCATTTACTCTCCTGCTTGTAAACAAGGTAAAGCGGAAAGCAAGATTCATTCATTCTTTCTAAATGGGTAAAGCTATTTTACGGTCGAGTTGCTTTTCTCCTCTTTAGTCTTCTTTCTTTCATTTCATAAGGTAGTAAATAAATGGAATAGAATGGAATAGGTGTTTGATTGACCTCGTTCTTTCCTTTGATTCCGCTTGCAAGACTCACTGCAACTTACCTCTTGACCCTCTAGATTTTTCAACTGCTCTTGATCCTGAAAAAGAAAGTCAAGACTATCGAAGAGAATGATCTTGATGGAACTCAATCACTATCACTATTCTTTCACTAGGTTCAGTAGCTAATTCATTGCCTCTCTCTTCACCTGTGCCTTCCCTTCTTTCATTGAACTGGGTCAAGCTGCTTGCTTCTCTCATGAACCTCGGTAAAGCATACATACATACATATTCTTTCTCCTTCCAAAGAAAGTGTTTGAAGTCAAGACTTCTTCTCTTCCTTCCTTATCTCCTTCACTCGGATATGACTCGTCCCCATGTCTCGCTGTTCCTCTCCTCTTCACGTCTCACTGCTGGCTGGGTGGGTTGGTTCTTTCACTGTAACCAAAGACTCCCTCCTTTCCTTATTCCTTCTCCCTCCTTCACTGGCATATTATCTCCTGTCCCTGATTGAAAGAGGTAAATAGGTAGGTGGTTGGTTAAGTAGCTCTTTGTTTGATTTGAGGAACTGTCAACTGGCAACCCTTTTCCTTCTTTGAATCGGTAAAAGAGAACTACTCCTTATTACTTCTGCTGAAGAACTACTTACTTACTTCCCCTGAACCTACTTCTGTATTCTTTCATCACTGTAAAGAAGGGTCGAAAGATGGATTCTTGATCTTCTCCCTCCCGCCTGAACTGGCATATTGTCTGTCTTCTGTCCCTGATTGAAGGAACTGTAAGAAAAGACTGAAGATGCATATGAAATTCATTCATTCTGTTGAACCTCTTCTACCTATTTCTTCTTTAACTGATCTTTTCTTTCCCGAGGTAGGTAATTCATAAGTCAAGACTGAAGATGAATTCGAGGATATTCTCTCCTTCTTTCACTGTAACCTCATCTCCTGGACTATTACTTCTTTCACTTAGTCTTGAACAAGTGGGAACGGGTAAAGTGGAAAGCAAGATTCATTCAATCTGGACTAGGAAGGCAAGCCGAAAGATGCATTCTCCGATTCATTCTCTCCTGACCCGTAACCTGATTTCACTCTTGAACAAGGTAAATAGGTTAAGAAGAAGAAGTAGCTAATGACTCTCCCTTCCCTCGCATATGAAATTCATTCTACTGTGACCTACTGAGCCTATTTATTCCACCTCGCTCGTAAACAAGGGAAGGAAAGGAAGGCCGCTAATGAATTGACTCTCCCTGCCCCCTGTAAGCAAGATTGATTCATTCTCTTTAACTCCTCTCCCTATTCTATGGGTTTCCCGGCTGAGATTCCCTTATTTTATTGGTCTTACAAGAACTAAGTGTAAGTCAGTTATTTGCGCGGATAAAGAAGATGATCTACACCCTATTCATTCAGCCAGTAAGTCAAAAGGGTCAGTGGTTGGTTGCCTGCCACGAGAGCTCATGACCCCCCTTCGGGTTGGAATCTTTTCTTTGCTTTTCTTTCCTCTTGCTTCTTTCACTCGGTAAAGCAGGAATTGACTTTCCATTCACCTCTACCTATTTAGTCAGGAACAGTAAACAAAGACTATCGAAAGATGAATAATACTGCCTACACCTTTTCCTATCCTTTAGGTCTGTCTCTTCTTATTCCTTTTGCTTTGATTTTCTTCGTCTTGCGCTGGGGTTGCCCTCTTCTTTCTCTGGGTAAATGGGTGGGTTCATTCAGTAGCTAATGAATTGACTCTACTGTCTGTAAAGCCTCTCGCTCGATTCATGCTAGTTTAGGAACTGACCTCATGAACCTCGTCACCATTAAGAAATTCTCCTTAACTCCTTTCCCTTTGCTTTGCTCCCCTTATTGGTCTTACAAGCACTAAGAAAAAGTGAGTGAGTTCTTTCTTTCTTTCTTTGCGCGGATAAAGAAGATGATAGTAACCCGGTATTGTACTGATTTCACTAAGGAGTAGAGCAATTGAACCTTTGGGGGATGTAAAGAGGTCTTTCTTTGGTTCTTTCTCCGATTCCTCTTCTGTCTTGAACTGGGTAAACTCATGAACCTGTTGGTTGAACAATCCCATTGCCTGAACTACTGAAGGAACCAGGACGGGCTATTCTTCAAACACTCTTTTACGCTCTTTCCTGCCTGTAATTAATGAGACAGCCGGAACTAATTAACCTCTATTCCTGTCAGTCAGTCTTCCTTATTCTTGAACAGTAAAGAAGGGAAACTGTAGAGGAAAGTCATTCAATCCTAAACTACTGATGAACGAACCTGTGACTATCCTTTTTTACAGTGAAAGAAGACAATGAATTAGCTGCACTCTATTTTGAAAGACTGAACTCTCGGTAATCGGCAACTAGTAGTCTTTTTCCTGAGAACCGGAACCTGCCGAGTAGGGAATGAAAAAGTCAGAATCAGTCCTTTACGGTACAGTAAGAAAGAGATAGTGAAACCCGACCCTTTACATTAGAGTCAATTCCTTGCAGCGACTGAACAGGAAGGCAAGAAAGGAGATGAAATATTAATGAGACACTCGGAACCTGAACAAGATACATCAGACTCAACTCAAGATGAATGAGCCTCTACGGTAAAAGAAAAGAAGCAAGCTCCCGCCTGAACCTATATGACCTAAGCAGCTGAGCTCCGTAACCAGTATTACCAGAACCAGAACCTTTATCAATCTCCTTCTTCACCTTTACAGAATTAATTGAAAGAAGAAGAGAATGAAAGACGGATTTGCTCATGAACCTGCGCCCCTGTCCCGATAGATATTACCTGAACCTGCTCCTCTGCTTCTTTCTCCTGCTTTCAAGACTCGTTCAAATGAAGGATCAACTCATGAACCGGAACCAGTATTCCTTGTATTCGCTTCCCTTATTGAATGAAGGAAGTAAAGCAAGCTATTTGAAGAACCTTTGTCGCCCTTTACAGTTGAGCTACTTATTCTTCTTTCTCCTGCTACTGAACCGTAACCTGGCTTCTCTCCTGAACTTGTCCCTGATTTCACTCTTTTTCGTGTAAGTACCTTTTATTCTTTACCGGTAAACTAAGACTGAACTCTTTATGAATGAGAGTGAACTCATGAACCTTTTACTAATTGAACGAGGGAGGTAAATAGGCTTGCTTCGCCCCTTGTTCCGTGATTGGTCGTTATTCGAAGAAAGATGAATGAGCCTCTCCCTATTAAAGAAAAAGGTCATTTCAGTGTTTCACTCATAGGTACGGTAAAGCTGCTAATTCATTGCCTGTCCCTGAACTGTACTAATGAGACTCTCCCTTCTTTCACAGTAAAAGATCAATACTCCCGATCGAGATTAATTCGACAGAACTGGAAGGTGAACCTACTTATTAAGAAATTCTCCTTCACTCCTTCTTTGCCTATTTATTCCTTCAAAGACAAGGCAAGGTAAAGAAAGCGTATTCTCCTGCACCTCGCTCCTTGCTCTTCCCATTCCCTCCCCCTTCAGTTCTTGTTCATTTACAGTAGGTAAAAGCCAAAGATCAAGTCAAGACGAAACTCAACAAGATGCATTCTTCTTGAACCTATTATTATTTATTCTGTAACAGTAAGGGAAACTCTTTAACTAACTACTGAACACCTATTTATATTCTTACACTAGGTAAAGTGAGGATTAAATGGACTCTCTTGCTTGCTTGTAAACTAACTCCTTCCGGGCTCCTCTTTCTTTATTGAAAGACAAGCTAGCTCGCTCGCTATCTCAGTTTGTTTGCTTCTTTAACTCCTCTCCCTACTCTACTTACTTACTCATCAACCTTCTTTCACTGTAACCTTATTAACCAACCTCTGCCTGCCTACTGACTCATTCGGCTTTTCCTTCTTTCACGAGGTAAGATAGGCTTCTCTCCTTCACCTTCCTTGCCTTCTAGGTCTCTTTCTTCCTTCACCTCTATTATTCTCAGTTATAGTTTGTTATTCTTTCACTATATCTTTGCACTCGGTAACCAAACTCATGAACTACTGGAACCGTAACCTATTGATTCACTGTATAAAGAAGATCAAGACTCCTTATGAATGATACGGATGGAACTCTTTTCCTCTCCTGCCTGTAAGAAGGATGGATGAATTCATTCTCATGAACCTCGTAAACAGGATATTCCACTGTCTGCCCCATGTTCTAGTTCTTTTAAAGTCAAGACGGGAAACAAGGAAGAATGAGACTGAGCCTTTCTTTCGAGTCGGTAAAAGGAATGAGAATGAACTCTGCTTCACCTTTTCTTTTCCGATATGACCTTAACTTCTGGAACAGTAAACTCATGAACCTCTCGCTACTGACTCATTCACCCTTGACTGATGGAACTCGGTAAATGGGCTTCCTTCGCACCTTTCTTTTCCTTATACGATATTGCCTTCCCTGAACTTGCCAGTCGAGTCAATGAATTAGCTGCTTTACAGGAGAGGAGTGAAAGCAAGCAAGAAAGAAGCCGGCTGAGGGGAATTCAAGCCAGCCCAAAGAGAAGCGACTGAAGAGGACCCTGTATTCCCTTCCCTTCCCTTATTTCTGGAGGTAAGTCAAGCTATTTGAAGAACCTTTCTTTCCAGTTCAAGAATCAAGCCGAAAGCAAGACAAGATGAAGGATCCTTGTACAGTTCAATGAAAGAAGAAATAGGTGTGAAGGCAGGAGAAAGATAGTTTACGAGTTCAATCTGTCTGATGAATAAGGAGTCTTCGCGCAGAATGCTCTGGGGTTGAATCATCAGGTTTTTCAGGTAAAGGTTCGTCGCTTGGGTCCCCTGGTGTGTCGGATGGTAATAGGGGTAGGAAATGAATAAAAGGAGTAGTTCTCTTTTACAGTTCATAAATAAATTGGGACAAGTTATTGAGGGAAGGAGTGGGATAAGGGGTTACCTGGAAAGAAGGTCGTCTTGTGCGGGTTCGCTGGAGGATGGGTACCTTTTCACAAGGGAGGGTTCGCTTCTGTCCCTCTGTGTCGGCCGTCAACTGAAGGCCTTTCGGTTGGGGGGAGGAAGATGAAGCTAAAAGAGTTCGTCCGGTGCTCTGTTGCTGTCTTTTGGAGACCCGCTTTCGTAAGGCAGGAGGAGTGTTTTCCTTACTCGACTTTGCTATGATCCCATTGAAGAAAAAGGAGAGTGTAGAGTCTGTGGTGGGTCCTTCTGAGTTTCCATTTGTGGATCCTTTCAAGAGAATAGGGGAAGGGGGCGTAATGAAAGTTTCCTAATGGAAAGGGGAGGTGAGTATCTGTCGATTCCTCACAAGCGCCTGTTCAAGAAAGAGGAAACCCTGGGTTACTTTATCTACCGAAATGAGGCAGGGGAGGGATAGGCGGTATGGCCACTGCAACTTGTAGTTCCCCGAAGTGCGGAGGAAAGGGTTGGTGAGCCTGGGTCATTTAGTTCTGTTGTTCGTACGAAAGAGAGAACATGGCCTCTGCTTTTGGAAAAAGGGTATTTTGTGGCTAATTCCCGTCTCTTGTATTTGTCGGAAGTGTTGCCTCAAATAGAGGCTAACCCAACGTCGGAGGAAGGTATGTATTCGATACCGAATCGAACTGGCAAACTGCGGGAAGGAGGACACATGGGATAGATCTGATTAGGGGTAGGGGTTGGGTGTTCTTTGTTTGTTTGTTGTGGTTGGTCTGTCTAATCTTTCTGTTTCGAGGCTTGGGGTGTGTTTTTGTTTGTTGGGTATATGCGGTCTTTGTTTTTCCGCTGTCCGCTCCTTTCTGTTCCCGTCTGAATGTAAGGGTTTCCGTTCTTGTTTGTTCTGTTGCTGTTAGTCTTGTTTGTGGGTGGGGCCCCTTCCCCGCTATTCCCTATTTTTTCTGTCATTTCACTCTTTTACTCGACTCTAAGAAAAGAAGAAGGTCAAGCTCATGATCCTATCGGTTTCATTGCGGAGCTCAATCACCTACACCGGAACCTCTATGACCTTCCCGCCCCTCCCCTATTTACCTTATGAATGAAAGAAGGGCGAGTCAATTCCTTGCAGCAGCTCAATCACCTATTTATTCGTCTTCCCTCCTGAACCGTCACCCATTTCCCTTATGAATGAATGAAATCCTGAACGGAACCTTTACTGTGAAAGAAGAAATTCGACTTAACTGTAAGTCAATCCGAAAGATTCCTTCTATCTCTCCCTTATTTTTTGGGATCAAACCCGGTATTTTGGGCCGAGGTAATTAAGAAGTCAATCCTCAACTCCTTATTCATTAGACTGATTTCACTCTTTTACTCTCCCTCGTAAACAAATTCAAGGATGTTTGGCTTCTTAACCTGACGAGAACGAGAATGAAAGAAGAAGAGAAAGCAAAGATTGAGTAAGATGCAGAATTAGAGAAAGGAAAGATTGAGGCAGAATCAGATATTCCTTCGGAACCTGAACCGGAACCAGATTGAACTCCGTAACCTTTATCAAAGAGAAACCCTTCTTCCCCTGCCCTGCTATTCCCTTCTTTCCCTGAACTTGACAGGATAGTAAAGAAAAGAAATCCTCCCTTTTCGAGTCGAGCTGCTTGGTTCTTGATCCGTCACCTTCTTTCACTGTCAAATCAACGTTTTATATAGTTGTTACTACGGGAATATGTAATAATAAGATGCAGAAGAAGAAAATGAAGAAGAAGAAAGAGAAGCGACTGACCCTGAACCTCCTCCTAAGGTTTCACAGCCTCGCTCCTGCCCCTCTCCCTCTCGGTCGAGCTCTTTCACCTCTTCGCTCGTAGGGTCTCAGGGCTTCACCCCTCGTAAACTCGGTTGAACAATTTCATTTACTGAACCGATATTCCCTGACCCTATTTACCTTATTCATTCAATCATCCTCTTTACCTTATTCATTCACCTATTGATTGTCGGAAGGAAAGACTCTTCAAGAATTAGACAGTAAAAACCATTAATAAAAAAAAGCTATCTTCTCTCTATTTTTTGGGATAAAATGTTATCCTCTCCCTATTTTTTTTTGGATAAAATGTAGTGGAAGTAATTGATTATTAAGTCAAGACTAAAGATTCATTCTTTAACTGATCTTGATCAGGACTGAGCCTGCCCCTTCACCGGCCGGGTACGGTAAAGTGTCTTCGCCTCTTGGTCTCAGGGCTTCGCCCCTGCCCCTTTTCCTTCTTTAACTCTTTTACTAGGCTAGGTAAAGCGCTATTTGAAGAACCCGACCCGATATTAGTGATTGTTCTTTCCCTTCAAAGACGAACAGTAAACGAGGTCGTCTTCTTCCTTCTTTCTTTCACTCCTCCCCATACTTACTCCTACTCCTACTCCTATTAATGATGATGAACTCTTTCGCCGGTCTCACAGCTTGAACTCCTTCGCCCTACGGGTCTCACAATTGCATTGCCTTCGCTTTATTTATTTATTTTGTCTCACAGCTTCGCTCCTTCAACTGATTCAAGTGTGATTCAGCTATCGGTGTAAACAGGGAATCTTAGCTCGGGCTCTGATCTTGATCCTTCAACTACTGACTAAACTCGGTCTGTTCTGCTTGCTCCTGAACACCTCCCCCTTCCCTTGCTTGAACGAACCTGTAAGTAAGAAAGATGAATGAGATAGATGGAACTCCTTAACCTATCGGGCGAGTGTAGCTTCGCTCCTCTACCCTTCTCGTCGAGTAGCTTCGTTCCTTAACCTCTATTATTCCTTTGCCTTATTTATTGAGGTATAAATAGGTGTTTGATTCTGGATCTTCTCCTTTCTGGAACTGTAAGGGAAAGCATATTCTCTCCTTCTTGAACGAGGGTTGAACTAGGTAAGTTGGATGAGACAGATTGAACCTTTACGGGTGGTGGGTTAGTAAATGAATGAAGAAGAGAATGAATGCAAGAAGAAGAACCTTTAAACGAAGAGAAAGAAAGATCAGCTCATGACCCTTCTCCCTCCTTTACAGTCGAGTAAATTCATTCAATGCTGGACTCCGGAACCTGCCGCCCCTGCTGCCCCGATATGACCTTCGCTACTTCTCCTGACGAGTCGGTAAAGCAACTAATTAATGAGAATTGACTCTCCCTTGAAGAACTGTAAACAAAGACTATCGATTAATTATCCTAACCTACTGAACCTGAACCCTCTTTCACTCTTTCACCGAAACCAGATGGAACAGGGTAGGTCGATTCTTCTTGAACAAGGTAAAGCAGCAAAGAAGAAAAAAGACAAAGATTTCCTTCTTGAACTGTAAACGAATCAAATGAAAGAGAAGCTACGAACTCATTTTCCTCCGATATTACCTGACCTGAACCTATTTCTGTAAGTCTCTTTCTTCCTGAACCGATAAATAGATAGATAGATATTACCTGAGCTGAACCTGATTGAAGAAAGATTAGCTCCGGGGTAGTAAACGAAGAGAATGAAAGAATCAGTCAGAATAGAATCAGATATTCCTGTCGAGTCTATTCATATTCAATCATCCTGTAAACGACGAATCAAATGCAAGAGCAATCTCCTTATTAAACTGAACTCAATCACTTGTCCTGTCCTTTCTTTAACTCCTGAATGGATATGCCCTGACCTTGGTGAGCTAGCTTTCTTTTATTCCTTTACTCTGTCTTCGTCTTCGCTCTTCTTTATTGATTCTTGAACGAGGTAAACTGAATCACTACTGAACCGGATTGAACCTATTAATGAGAGTGAACTCCTTTCCCTGACCTTGGCGAGCTTGCTTTAGCTTTCTTTTATTCCTTCCCTCTGTCTGAGTCTTCGCTCCTGAACCATCACCTTCTTTCACAGTAAGATGCGCAGAATCAACCGAAAAAGAGCTACTTCACCTTTCTAGTCGGTAAAAGAAAAAGAGAGTCAGTCATCATGTATTTGTCTCGCTCGAGCTTCTTTCACTCGGTAAAGCGTATTCTCCTCTTCCCTCTCCCTGATGGAACTCTAAAGCAATTATATTATGATCCTACACCTGAACCTATCTATCCTTTGTCTCGTAGCTTCGCTCCTCCTTGACTTCTCCCTTGCTTGAACGAACTGTAAAGAAGGATGGAATGCGGCTTCTTCTTCCCTTTCCTTATTCTTGAACTGATCTTGATCTGATCCTCAAGATTCCTTCTCCTGATTGATTGAACGAACCAGATTGAACGCGGTCTCTTCTCTTTGCTCCTTCTCCTTCACCTATTTCTTCTTTCACAGTAAAAAGAAAGATGCATGCATGATCCTGAACTACTTCATGAACCAGATTGAAGGAGTTTAGAGTGAAAGAAAGAAGAGAGGACGATTGATTGAAGAAGAAAAAGAAAGTGTTTCAAGGAAATACGAAAGCGAAACCCCGACTATAACCACGAGGTCAAGCTATTTTCTTTCATTCTCCTTCACCTTCACCGATATGACCTTCCCTGATGTTCCTCGTTAAATAGGTTCAGTAGGTAATTTATTTCCTTGACTGTAAACAAGGATTGAACTACTTCTCTTTCTCTTTGCTTTCCGCTTGAAAGACTAAACCTCAAACAAACCTTTTCCTTCTTGCTTTCAGGGTAAAGGGGCTGGCTTCGCTACTGATCTTTCTCTTCTCTTTTTCTTCCGTAACAAGTCATTAAGGAAGGAATTTTGATGGGAATATGACTATCTATACTAAAGAGTGTTCAGTTATTGCATTTTAAGGAAGTCAAGAAAGAGAAGCTCATGAACCTTCCAAGGTTAAGCATATGAAATCAATCCTTCTGGAACCTATTTCTTCTTTCTCTGGAACCTGAGGGGAAGTCGTCAATCCTCAACTCCTTATTCATTCGACTGTAAGGACCAATAATGATTTTCTTGATGCTTTACCCTATTTTTTAGGCCATTTTGGAGGTAATTTGTTCGGCTGGATAAGAAGAAGAAAGTGAAAACCGGAACCTGCCTGCCCATGAACCTCGTAAAGCAATTCCATTTCCTTCACCCCTCTCCCTATAGTTCGAGTGCCTTCGTCTCTTCGCCTGTCGGTCTCCGGCCTTCGCCCCTTTACCTTTTTCACAGTCTTTGAAGAGAAAGAAGGGAGACTAAAGATTCATTCGACGGAACAGCCAGTCTAAACTCCTTATTCATTCGAGAGAGAGAGTTTACGGAACAGGCTTTCTTGCTTGCTCGGGCTCCTCTTGCTTGCTGGGTTGTAAGGAACTGGCTTGCTTTCACTCTTTCACTCCTTTTCTTTTCCGACATGACCTAAGCAGCTACTGAACCTGAACCTACTTATTAATGAGAAAGAAGAGTCAGTAAAGACGAAAGAAATGAAAGAAAGAGACTGAACAACTACTGAACTCACTCTTTTACTCTCCTGTAAGAAAGAAGCAAGAATGAGAGTGAACAGAAAGTTCAGCTCATGACCTCTCACCTCGTAAACTCGGTTTCCCAATTTCATTCTATTCCCTTGCCTTATTTATGGAGGTAAACTCGGTCTCAAGGCTTCGCTCCTGGACTACTGAACTCACCTTCTTTCTCTTCTCAATCACTACTGAACCTATTTCTTCTTGATCCTTCCCCAAAGACTCTCCTCCTGTAAACACTGAACTCAAGCAAGATTCATTCGACAGATTTCACTCTTTCCCGAGGGTTGAACTATTCAAAAACTCTTTTGCTCAAATCAAGCAAGATTCATTCTCCTATACCTATTTCTTCTTGAACGGATCTTTCTCCTCACGTACGGCTGAACCTCTCCACTCCAACTCGGTCTCATGTCTTCGCCCCTTTGACTCTATTGTTTGACCATCAGTGAGTGTGAGTTATTCTTTCCCGAACAATAACCAAGGTCAACCTGCTAATGGATTCTTTCTTTCTCTTCTCCTTTCTTGAACTGTAAACAAAGACTCCTTATTAATTCTCGGCCCTTCTCTTTCAAGCAAGTCAAGACTCTACTCCTCCTTATTAATAAGAGAGACTGAAGGAGGTAAAATGGGCTGGCTTGGCTTCTCCCCTTCGCTTCTATTCCCTGACAGTGACCGGATTGAACTCCTTTTCCTTCTTTCACTCCTTCACCGATATGACCTTCGCTACTCAACCAGAGAAAGATTCATTCATTGTAACTCCTTATTAGTCAGCCAGATTGAACTTTTTCACATAGGCAGAAAGAAGAATCAACCTCAAACCTGAACCTCGGCTTCGCTCTTGTCCCTTCAAAGACTCCTTCCCCTCGTAAGGGTTGAACTATTCTTTGACTCGGTAAAGCTTACGGTCTCGTTGCTTTGCTTCTCTCCCTTCCGGATTTCACTCTTTTACTTACTCTTTTCCCTGTAAGAAAGGGAAGCTCGCTCCTTTTCGTCTATGCCCTGACCGGAAGGAGGTAAACTCGGATCGGTCTCACTCAATCACCTATTTATTCTTAAACCTATTCTGTAGACTACTTCACTACTTCCTGAACCTGATGGAACTCTGGAACAAGGTAAACTGGGGGATTCTTCTTTGACTGGGGTTGAACTATTCCATTGCCTGAACTACTTCACTGAACGAGATTGAAGAGTAAACTGATTGTCCTCTCCCTTTGTTTGACTCTATTCTCTTCCCGGATTGAAGAGTAAAGAAGGAAAACTGTAGGATCCGCTCCTTCACCTCCCCTGTCGGTCGGTTGAACCATTTCATTTCATTCACCTCCTCTTAAGGTTGAACCATTGAATTTCCTTCACCTCTACAACTCGGTTTCACCATTTCATTTCCTGCCCCTCTACAACAAGGTTTCACGCATTGCCTGCCCCAGATTGAACAAGGTAAAAGACAAAGAGAAAGGAAAGATGAAGACGACTTCGCTCGCATATGAAATCCTGTCCCTGATTATCCCCCTATCTTATTCTTGACTTTAACTGTAATGTAAACTAAGCCGAAAGAGAAACCCGTCACCTCGATTCCCTGAACTGAACTACTTCACGAACCAGGTAAAGCATATAAACCAGATTGAACTCGGGAAAGCATATGAAATGAATTGACTCCCCCCTCCCCGAACTGTAAACTCATGAACCTCTATTACATTACCAGAAGTTATTGTGAATTCGTTATCAGACTTAACTACTTCACCTTATATGCTATTACCTTCTTTCATTCAATCTGGAAGAGTAAAGAAAAGCAAAGAGATAGTGAAACCGGAACCCTCTTGAACTCTTTCCCTCGGTCAAGCTAAATTCATTCATTCTCTCCTGAACC